GTAGAATGAAGTTCCTTGTGGTTGTAGGACTGAGCTTCCCACATCTAGGTTGACTGCTAGCCAAGGACTGCTTTTCTCTCTTGGAGTCTTGTCCTGTGCTCCCCCAAACTCTCTCTCACTATGGCAGTTCACTTTTCAGACCAGCAGGAGAGTAAGAGGAGGGTTCGTGGAAACTCCATGGGAAAAACGGAATTTAATTAAATATAATGGAATTTTTTCCAACACACTTTTTGAAGCCCATTCCTACGTTTGACCTCGGAAATGAGTGCAGTCCTTATTTCAAAAGGCTTGCCCCATCAAGTCAGGACCATACAGTTTCCTCTGCTGAGGGGACCTAACTCCATATGTAAATACCTTCTGTCAGGTAAATAATCGTCATGACAGTAGTAAACTAAGAGTAACATATTGCCCACTCTAGTCCCAGAGGGCAGATATTATACACATGATGCACGCCTGGGCGGGCCACTGGGCATCTTAGATCTTAGAGCTGTTCTCGATTCCTCACTAAAGGATAAGGAACCCTTGTTGACATGCAGGGGTCCTCAAACTTTTCACACAGGGGACCAGTTCACTGTCCCTCAGACCCGTTGGAGGGCCGGACTCTAGCTTAAAAAAAAACTGAGCAAATTCCTGTGCGCACTGCACATGTGTTATTTTGAAGTAAAAAACAAACGGGGCAAAAACACCCGGTGGGCTGCATCAATGTCCTCGGCGGTCCGCAGGTGGCCCTCGGGCTGAGGTTTGAAGACTCCTGGAAGGGCTCTTTCCTTTTCAGAGACTTCTGTTCCTTCACTGGCTCTATTTAAATAATTAACGACTGGTGTGTCATTTTAAACTTTTATAGTGTTAAGTTCCATTTTAGAACCTTTGGTTAGAATAACTGTCTACACCTGAATCAATACATAGCTCAGTACTTACACTGAAGTCAGTCTCTAAACTGAAAGGGGCGTTGCGAAGACTGCGGAGGGCTTGCACTGCTGAGGATACAGGTGTGGGAGGAACTCTGCGCTCACGGGGCTTGTAGCCTCACTGAGACTCTAAATTCACATCAAAGGACCGTGACCTGGGAGGAATTACAGTTGGGACATATGCATATACAAGGGTGTGAAAAATGTTGTGAATACATTCTGTTATCGTCCATTTCCCCACAAACTTTTTGAAGCGGCCCTTATTTTAAAGCCAAGCTTTTTGCGAATCCAAGATCTCAACCTTTAAGACAGTTCTCAGACTTTATGTGGTAGCATTTAGAACAGATAATATTCCACACGCCAGATTTCCCAAGTCTTGTCAGTTTTCAAAAAATCGCTTCAAATAAAAAATAATATCTGACAAGCATTACTTATATTCTTGACGGAGCTTGTTCCACCAGGTCGTTCAGCTGGTAAGCAGCAGACCCAGAAACTGCCATCTTCTTGTGGGTGTGCTTTATGATTATTCTGTTTATGATGCAACGTGGCTTACTTACCTCCAAATATTTCAGTAGACAGGAGGAGGTGATGCATTTAAAAAGAAACAACACTCAAGGCTCTGTTGGTAGAGTTGCTAGCATAATCTCTGTTTTCCACAGACCCGCACCAAAGCAGTCTCAGACCAAATGGAGAGCAAGCAAAGAAAGCTATTTACCCTTTTTGGTATAGCTACAGAACCTTTCTCAGCTAAGAAATAGCATTCCTAAGCTGGGAGAAGTTAGTAATAGATCCTTAAGGATTTGTCTGTGGACTAACAGAGGCAGCTCTTCACGGAGTCTCTATCAGGACAAGCATTTAGAAACGAAGATATCTTGGGCATGCATTTAGACAAGATTGATTTCCTTGTTTCTCCATCTCAAAACTAGGTTCTCTGTAGCAATTCCGTACCTGCTCTATAGGGTTAATGTTAGTAATGATTGTAAGCTTGTAGATTTAGAGTATTTCCTCAAAATAATTTAGTAAAGTACAAGTCATTTTATTACTATCTCCATAACTTCAGAGTTTTCCTCATCTAATAAATTTTGGTGCTATATTGAAGTTGAGATTTACATATATTTCTTCGAGGAATAGTTTACTGAGTTGTTTTTCTACCAGTGGAAGATACCTTTGTATTGTCAGGATTTGTCAGTGAGAATGAACAGGTGGAAATCTCGTGGCATGCAAGTTTCACACGTGTGAAAAGCCACACAGAACAGCTCTTAGGAAGGGAAGTGCCTCCTCACGGTGCCGTCTTCTGAGCTGCCCGGGATCCCACCTAGAATGCTAATCCAAAGCTCCCTTACCACATTCATCTCTCAGAGAGTCTAGCTTAGATGCAGCGCGTTAGCTTCTGAATGGAGAAGTGCTCCAGTACAGACTATGTACATAAATGCCTGGTTCATATTATTAATAACAATTGCAGTCTAATGAATGTGGTGTTAAACTAATAGATTGTAAATAAAAGTTGAAGTAGATGCGTTGCACATAGGGTGCCTTTTAGAAATCTCTCTTCTGTCTCTTAGAACAAAACATGGTTTATATACAGTCAGGTGGACACAGGCAGAGTCTTATCTTAAGGGTGTAAAACGTACTGAAGTCAGCAGTTCAGATCCACCACCAGCTCCTCAAGAGAAAGATGAGGTGTTTGCTCCCATGAAGATGTATTGCCTCCCCACAAGTCTAGCCCCAGTGGAAGACCAACTAGTTCTTAGGCCAAGGCCCTGATGAAGAGATCACTGAAGATGTAGATGCTGTCACAAAACGTGGTGATGGAAACAGATGATGGCTGCCTGGCTCGTCCACTTCATAAACGTCCACTTCAGTGAGGTGTCAGCTTAGTCCACAAAGAAGAATCACACCAGCCCATGTGATCTAAATATGATAAATAATAAAATCCAAGTCCAAAGGAGGGGATAGTATAAGAGTTTAAATTGTGAATAGTGTTGTATGACTTTCTGTAGATGAAATCTAGGATGGTGAGAGACAATAACTGGATTGATAATTGCCTACAGGTATGACTCACTCTTATCAAGTCAATGCCGACTCAGAGGGTGGGGGAAACAGGGAACTAGCAATAAGTATGAGGAAAAAATGTCGAGAAAGTCATTGTGTTTATTGTATAATATTTCTTAATATGACTGAACGATCAAATTGTCTGTGCAAGGCATATGCCAATACAACGATGTTTTAAAAGTTTACAGCCCCCAGAAGGCCATGGTGGTTGCCGTGAGTCAGAAGTGACTGGATGACAATGTGAGAGTTAATGGTTGAAGAAAAGCCAGGTCGGATGGGAGCTAAGAGGATGGAGTATGTTCTTTGCTAAGAAAAGGGGAAGAGCAGAGAGGGCTTCCTGAGGGAGGAAATACTAAGCTTCCCTTCAAGGAGGAGGAGATTCAGCAGAAGGCACCAAGTGGAGTCATGGACGTGGAAATGGCAGGCAGTCTTGACCAGGTGGAGGCTAGCTGATGTACACGTGGAAGCTAAACCTTCCCTTGCCATTCCCAACATCAGAGCTTTAGTCTACTTAAATGAAAAGTCCCGGAGGGTTTTGAATAAAGGAAATAAAAGTCAACCTTGTTTGAAGTGGGAAAGAGAGTTTGGAGGCAGAGAAACATTGAGGGCAGGAAGTTTTTCTTAGCATGTTAGCAGGAAAGTGCCCTGGTGGTGTCGTGGGTTAAGTGTTGGGTTGCTAACCTCAAAGTCAGTGGTTCAAATCCACTAGTTGCTCTGCAGGAGGCAAATGAGGGTGGCCCACTGTTCCCTCTGGGATGAATATGTGAAATATTTCATAGTTTCTAGAACTTGACAATTGTTTGGACATAGAAAATTAAGATGATCTCAAGCTTGGATACATAGGAAGACTGCCAGGTTTAAAGACATTATGGATTTGGCTTTTGATATTGAGATGCCTTTGGGACAATTTATGAATGAATTAGCTTAGAAAAATCTGTAGACTCACATTCTGAAATCATAATTCACCAAGCATAATTTAGCTCCAAATAGATCAAGCTCTAGTTTTAAATCTATTATCTGAAATATTCATATTGGGTAATGTGTGCCTGCAGTTATAAATACAATGTAGCTACAGATCGACTGGCAAAGTTCTTGGAAGTTGTGCGTGAATTTATCCTATGCTATGTGTGCGTTACTATACATGTTAGCCACATCTTGCGCTGTTTCTAATTGGAATTCGTAACAATGAAAGTTTTTTTTGCCCACAGAGATTTCAGTACCATTTTGTCTAATTGTTCCTTATGTTGAGCTACCATCTGATCAGCTTCTTTAGGGTAATAAAACCGTGCGTTTCCTCCGCTCTTGTGAGGCCTCCGCGTGGTTAGGCCGCTACAGCGTGGTGGTAGTCTGCTGGCCGCAGATTCGTGAACGAGAGGCGCTAGCTAACCATGGAACAGTGTCCTTTACACTATGATGAAAACATCACCTGCCTGCCATTTAGTAAAATGGTTGTTATTAAAAAGTCAAATGTAAGTAGTTTAATGTGAATATACCTCGATATTACAAACAGGATTTGTCAACTGTCAATCAAGTGCTTAAGACTGAGTGAGTTTGTTTGCGGGGTATTTATTTGAACTAAATCCCTAACAAGCCTCGTCTGCTAATTGGACTTAACATTTATGTTGCTAAATGAGAAGCATTTTGGCTGCTATATAGGGTGGTAAGACCTACCCAGTGGAATAAACAACTAACATCTGTCACCCTGTCCTGCTCCAGCTTCGCTGTACCAGTTAAGTACATCAGCCTGAAGTCCAGGTTATCAAATACTACGCGAATCTCTGGCTTGCTGTGTGTATGTGAAAGCAAATAGCACACGATGAGTTAAGCCGAGCCAACCGAAAGCTATCGAGTACAGCTGGTCCACTTGGTTTTCATCTCTATAAGCCCAGCGACCTTAAGCAATGGCCAATAGACTATAATATATTTTAATAATAACTTTTAATATTTTCTTTAGCATGTCCCTACATTTCGTATTTTATGCTGCTGATTGTTAGATTACACGTGACTCCACTACACATGCCTTCCCTTTCTTTCAAACAGAAGCTAAACTTGGATTTGGCTGATCTTCGGAAAGAAAAAGAAGATTTACTAAAGAAGTTAGAGTCCTCCTCTGAAATCACGAGTTTGGCAGAAGAAGTTTCCAGGGTAACGGTCCCACAGATACAAGTTACAACAATTGGACCTTCAAGGAGCATGGAACTGGAAATGAAGCAACTGCAGTGTAAACTAAAGGTGATTATAAACCTTATTCAACAGGGACGCATGCAAGGGGCTTCAGAAAGTTCGTGGGAAAATTACCGGGGTTTCAAAAAGCTCGTGGGAAAATTACTGACTCCTCAAGGATATGTTTATGCCTATTCTAATTCTATGTGAAAGATACATTATGATAAAATCCAAAACTTACCAGTACTACATTGGACTACTTCGTTCACCTTTAATTTGGTAGAGTATTACCTGGTAGCTCATACATTATTCTCCGCCCCCCCCCCAAAAAAAAATTAGGACTTCATCGACAACTAAGGAGCTGTTGGCGTCTGGAGAGGGTCACTCTGCTCCCTGTTCTGCCTTCCACATAACAGGATACCTTTCAAACATTCAGTACGTGGACATCCACGGTCACTTTCCACCCTTTTACTTGTCAGCGTGCGAGGGAGAACAAGCCCCAGAGAGCGAGCGTGTGCTGGTGGAAAAGCTTACAGCAAGTTCAAACTGAGGCAGAGGATGAGAAGGCAAACCACTCCTCTTGTTCATCAGGAATAGTGTCTAAGGCCAATCAATAATTTCAGCCACTTTAAGGTCTGGCTTTAGCATGAAAAGAAGCAGGATTTGAGTTCTAGACAGTATGTCGGGCTGCTTACAACACATGTATTCCTCATGCCCCTCCTCTCCCAGTGCTGCTTGTGTCCACTGAGAGCTCACGGAAACGGCATCTGTGCACCCACAGCGACGGGAGCGTCACTGGGTAAACTGGCTGGTGTCCATGTACACAGTGCATTAGGGATGGAATAACTCCGGCTGAAAGAGAGGTGTGGACTATTGAAATGATACGTGCCCTCTCCAACATCTGTTGAGGAAGGATCACTATTAGTGTAAAATTGTAAATTAGTAAGTCAGAACTTGAAAACTATGTCGCCTTGATAAATAATCACATGTACTTGTACTTACAGGGATTGATTGAAATGCCTTCAACCACAATATGCTCTAAATGCAAATACCTTAGATAAGAAAAGTGTGTGTGTTTGTTGGGGGGCGGGGGTTTGCAGGTTTGGGAACATGCATCTTCTCTTAAAATGCATTTCTGTCTGAAGACAAGTGTAGATGGGTGGATGCATAAGTAATCCGTGGAACTTGAACATTTCAGTTTCATACACAGGATGACACCACTGAGATGGCTGTTCTTATCCACTGCCGAGACAGGATTTGTAGTTCTGGGGCCTTGTATGTGAGTCTCCGTGATCCTGATATCTCTTCCTCACCACGATGAAATGGAATGTTATGCCCAGCATTGCCTACTCCAACTTTTGTAAATTGTTCTTTTTAAGTTGATGAACTTGTAAAGTTACTTACATCAGATGGCCTGAAACATTTTTGATACTACCAAGCCCTAGCAATGTTATTTAAATGATACGCTTGTAGGGTATAAATGTCTAACCCACTTAAAATCTGTCTCTGGCTCTGAGGGTAAAGTGTGCAGCCAGGAAGGTGAGACTTCAGGTTACCTAGTGCCACTTAGCCCCAACTTGCTGTCAGTAGGATCGACATTGTCCATATCTAGCCTGGCATTGTCCACAAAGACAAGGTTTACATAACACTAAAAAGAACACATCTTTGTGTTTGTCTTGTTTCAGATTTTAATACGACTATTTCCTAGAAGACCAAGTCCCTTTAAATATATAATCCTTTCTGCTACTACATGTTTCTATTTCAATATCATACTGAAACCTGATGATTTTCCAAGAAACAATTTATTTTCTAGTTACTTGAGGGAAATTGGCTAGATTCGAACCTTTTGATGGTTTAAATCTATTAGTATACATCTTTTAAATGTTATCCAATTAAGAGATTTTTTTCTGTGTAGCGTGTGTGTTTTCCAGATGTCCCTGGGTTGCTCAGTGTCGTCAGTGTGTTGTAAGGAGCTCTCACACGGGTTCTAAAGCAGTGACCCTATAAGCACAACAGAGCAAAAGCCTACCCGACACTGTGCCGTCCACGACCCTTCCTGCGTCTGAGTCCGTTGGTGCAGCTCCTGTGTCAGCCCCTGTCACTGAGGGCCTTCTGGTTCACCGACCCTAAACCACGTCTTTCTCCAGAGACTGGCCCCTTCCCATCACATGACCAGGTTCCCGAGCCTCTCCCATCATCCTCCCTTCCAAGGAGTCTCCTAATCTAGAATGTACTCATTAGAGTACTGTTAATGCACTTTCTATATCCTCATTTTGCCCACTTTAGACCTGCTTCCGCAAATTGTCCAGCTTCGTGTAAATAGATGCGTAAATTACAAAATAAAAGTATTGTGCTGCAAGGAATGGAAAAAGGGTCACAAGACCTGTGTTTCGATACTTCTTGGCCGCTAACTTTTTGTGAGACCCTGAAAATGTATGAACATTTTTCGGTAACATATAGAGCTGGCCTTTCTTATAATTCAGCAATCCTCTGTTTATCCAGAAGTTAGTGAGGAGCAGTTTTAGACAGCCCCTGAGTTTAAGCACAGAAAGACTCGAACTATCTTAAAAACCACTTGATTTACTCCAGTGAAGGTACTGTCACCCATCATTCACTGCCTGCTGTCCTTTAAGCACAGCTATAATAGGTATTTAACGAATCAGCCGAAAACTCCTTAAAAGCAACAAATTAGAAGCATGCAAATTAAGGGGCAGGTTGATTGTTTTAGGTAGGAATATTGACAGATGCATGAAGTGACAGCCAAGAGATTGATGAGAGAGGAAACGAAAGTGTTAAGGTAAATACACAATTAGAGAAAGGGCAGTCTGAAACTCTTTAGGGTTGGGCAAGTAGTCTTTGAAGCCCATCACAAATGCTGGGGACATTCTTTTCTAAAACGTGCAGCCAGCTCTCACTTAAGCCCCCACGCGTGATGTGTGGTGCCCATGCACGTTACTTACACAGGCACACCCTCTGGGAAGAAGGCATAATTCATTTCTATCCCTGTAGTCCCTAGAGACTGTTACGTAAATATACATAGTAATACAATGTACTAGGGAGATTCAAAAAGTTTCTGGAAAAATTCTATGATCGTTTCATTACATTTGCCCACCAATTTTCGGAGGCCCCCTTGAATTTAATTAAGTATTATGTAAGATAGTATCACTAAATAAAAGCATCTTTGTTACCTTAGCATAACCATAGATACTCATTTGTAACTGAATTAGTGGAAAATAAATTATGTATAGAATACCCTATTGAAAGAATATCAGTGTATTATCATATAATGCACTCAGCATTTACATAAGACATTCGAGGACACGTCAAGTGTTTATGGAAAAGCAGGAGGAGAAGATAAGGGAATTTTTGCACAAATTTTTGAAGACCCTCATGTATCATCCCAGAAATAATTTAAGGTTAATGACTAAAGCAAAATCTTTAGCAATCGTGTATAAACTCAACAGTGTGAAACATCTTATTCTAACTCTGATAGAAAATACACCACACATCAATCCAAACATTCAAAATATCGTTGAAACTTACGCTGTATTGCATGCACATTTGATATTTAGGAGCTACCATCCAGGCTTTGCTTGTACTTTTAAGAAAATGTACATTGCATTTCACAGAAATGAAAACCTTAAACTTGTAAACGTGCCCTATGAGATATTTAAGAGCCCAGGTGGTACAGTGGTTATATACTCGGTTGGTAACCGGAAGGTCAGCGGTTCAAAGTACCAGCTGCTCCTTGGGAGAAAAAATGTGGTGATCTGGTTCCAAAAAGAGTCCAACCTTGGAAACCGTGGGGAACGGTTCTGCTCTGCAGGGGCATGGTGTGCCGGAGTTAGTTCCACAGCAGTGGGTTTTTAATTGGTGGTTTTGCTGATGGGATATTTAAAGTCTAGCTGGTGAGTTGACTCCCTATTTATGTTGTATGAGGGATGGTTTCGTCTCTCATAGCGTAAGTCGAACAGTCAAGTCTGAGAGTACTTCTAATGGAAACGATTGATTGATGTTACTAGAAAAATATGCAAAACAATTGGCCCAAATATTTTTCCACTTATGATGATGAATTAGGTGAGACTTTACAGATTAGGCCATCATTTTTGTATTCATCAAATCTCCCAATGTCTTGCCTTGTTGCCCTCATCCCCCACCACCACCACCACCACCCCCATCTCCTTCTCATGACTGATTTCTTCCCCTTCTCCAAAGTTAATACCAGTTTACCTTAACTCTAGCCCATTGTTTCCCTCCCACCCTTGGTAACCAAAGCCCGTGTTGTTGGGCCTGACAGCCTGTTGTTGTTTGTAACAGTGGTCTTGGACAGTGTTTCACCCTCGCCCAGCTTCCTCGTTCTCACTGAAGTTACGAGTTTAGTGTTGCACTGTGTACGTGTAGCACTGTTTACCCATTCTTCACCGACATGTCTTGCTATTGTACGTTTTGCTGCAGTGAACGCAGCTGTGCGTGACATATCACCTGCTCATACTACCACTTGTTTCTTTGGGGTTTCCCAAAATGTTTTCAAACTCTGTTGTTTCTATTTGTACTATTTTAATATCTTTTAAAGTTAGTAAAGATATAATGTTAGTATGTCAGCACTAGTTAATATGTCTACTATATTATATAATAGCTAAAATGCCAAATATAAAATACCAAAAACACCGAGTGATGTTTCAGCTCACGTTCAGACTTGGAGTGTAAGTCAAAGCTGGCAGTGTGCTCCCAAATACTGTCGTTACCACCACTGCTTCTGGCCGTACAGACAGAGTTATACCGCACCACCCACCACAATGCTGCCCTGCTCGGCAGAACTAATCATGGTGTACAAATACTGCAACATATAGCACTTGTAATACAGTTATGAAATACTTCATTTTCATAAGGTTTCCTATGTTATCTATTACGCTCAGCAAACAGTCCCGTAAGGCAGTGGCTTAACACAACAGCACTTAACTTTCTCTCATGAGTCAGTGGTTTGCCTGGGCATGTCTTTTGCTGGGCTCGTCTGTTTTTTCTCATATGCCTGCATTCTTCTGAACCAAAGATTGTGCAGGGCTCCCGGGCCTGGCACTCGGCCTGCTGACTGTCAGATGGTGGGGTGTCTTGGTCCTTTGCCACATGGCCTCTCGTTGGTCTTTCAAGGCTGTCTCAAGACAGCATTCCAAGAGGGCGGAGGTGAAAGGTACAAGGTCGTAAGGTCGGGAGCTTGAGAATTACAGTGTCATTTCTATACCATATGCTTTTAGTCAAAACGAATCACAAAGGGCAGAGAAATGAAGTCTGTCTCTTGGTGGATGGAGCTGATATTAAATCCACCACTAATTTCAAATGATCTTGCCAAGCTATTAAGATAATTAACTATATGTACATGTATTTAATAAAGAAAAGGTCTATATCCTATAAATGTACTTAGGGAGTGTGCTCTTTGAAATTCTTATGATTGTGCTACCCTTTGGGGTGTTGATGGTACATAAACCTTTTAGTCTTACTATATCCGTATTGAAAATAGAGTAGTACTTAAAAATATGAAAATTCCATTTAACTACAACCATAATGATTGCTCTTCTTAAATGTCATTATCTTGATGCTGTTTTAGGCAGAGATTGAAAGGTGTGTTTTAATTTGTGTTATTTTTAATCTAGAATGCAACTAATGAACTCACAAAACAGTCATCAAAGGTGAAGTCTCTGAAAGTTGACCTTCTATCCAAAGAGGAACACGTCAAGGAGCTGCTGGAAAAGTAGGGGCTCCATGTTCCTCTCTGTTGTATTTGGTGCCACCCAGTGGCAGCTCTCAGCAAAAATGGTTCAGCCTCGTTAGTTTCTGTTCGTCTGTGTAAGATGGAAATTTCAGCTGTATTACATGTATAGTGATTAATGATAAGATCTAACTGCTAATTTTTATTGGAGAAAGAATACTTTGTATTCCTTAGAGTAAGCATATTTAATTTTGAACAAACACAAAATTATTGGCCTCAAGACTGAAAAAAATTTTAATGTGGCAATTAATTGACCAAAAAGATATGTGTAGATTGAGACTTAAGCTGGAGTTAATGACCACACTTAGAAAGTTTAAGAGAAAAAAGGGAACTTGTGTGTAAATAAACAAAAGGTTCTAAAAGTGTGTGCTTGTTATTGAGAAAAAACTTTTTAAAAACTCATTGAAACAAAATAACGTCCTTCTGTATCTTTTTTTAAAGCTGTACTAGAGCTTGATAAACATGTTTAAATAGAATTCAAAGTGAAAATTATTGAAAGGTAATAGATTAAAAGTCTGGTGAATTTTTAAGACAGAGTATCTCAAAGCTTAGGTACTAACAAGGCCTTGTTGCTTTTCGGTTAACCATCAGGGCTCTAGAACAGCACTCTCTGTGCCTCAGTGGCGCTCACATCTGGGAGTGTGGGCATTAAGAAAGGTAAGCCCTGCAGAGAAGAGTGCCCGACACATTACAAAGAAGAGTTTCCCTTACTGTTAAAGTGTAGGACTGTATGTTAGTAGCATGCTTGTTGATTATCTCTAAAAGAATGTGACTTAAGTAGAATTTTAAGTTCTTATAAACTTGCTTGATCTTAATTTTTAAAAATTTAACAATATAATACAATGAAATCACAAGTTTATAGATCTTATACTCAAACAATTAATAGAGCGGTGTTGTAATATACAATAATAAGTTGGTAACCTTATATAATTTACAAATTTACCATTTTATTATTAAAGAACAGGTATAATATTGAATGATAGAAAACATTATAAAAGTGATGACATCCACGAATCTTGATAAATTGTTTTTCACTTTCCAGAATGTCTCGAATGGAGAGAGATGTAACCATGAAAAGACATTTGATAGAGGACTTGAAATTCCGACAGAAACTACACCTGGAGAGTAATGAGAGTTTTAATGAAATGGTAGAAAATCTTGAAAAAAAAGTAAGCTTGTTAACCCTAAAAAAAGTCACTTCCACACATGAAAAAAAAAAGTTATAAATGATCAAGGGTTTATGAGAGAGGGAGAAAATGAGCTGATACCAAGGGCTCAAGAAGAAAGAAAATGTTTTGAAAATGATGATGGCCACATATGTACAAATGTGCTTGACACATGATGAATGTATGGATTGAAAAAAAAAGTCACTTCCCACAAGTATTCACTGGTTTGACTTGAATGTTCAATCCTAATTAATTTAGACTATATGTACTATTGAATAATTACATTTGCTTTAAAAGTACATTGTTTTTAATAAAATTTATTTTTAAAATCTTACTTATTTCAGTATTAGCAATAGTTTATAGTTATAAATGAAAACCAACAACTAATATCAATCAAGACTTCTTTACAAAACTATGTTTCTCTATGTGTGTACAAGGGGGTAACCCCCCCAAAAACCAGAATTTTTTAAAATCAAATCTGTGTATTTAAATTTTTTTACGAAACAATCTTACCCCTTCAAAGTACTCTCCATTACACTGAATGCATTTGTCAAATCCACGATTCCATTCTTGGAAACATTTTTCAAACTCATCATTGGATGGCTGACAGCACCTCCCTCGTTTTTTTCTTCCCCTCTTCTGCGTAATCAAATGGCTGTCTCTCATGCCCCTCTTCATTCTTGGCAACAAAAAGAAGTCTCACGGCATGAGGTCAGGTGACTAAGGTGTGTGGGGCAAGAGAGGCATGGTGTTTTTTGCCAAAACCTAGTGCAGTGAGAAGGCTGCTAAGCAGGTGCACTGTCATGGTGGCAAAACCAGTCCCACCTCTGCCACAAATCAGGCCCTTTTTGTCGCACATGGTTACACAACCTTTTCAGAGTCTCTAAATAGACAGCTTGATTGGGAGCCTGACCTGGTGGAACGAACTCCAATGTACTATGAGTCAACATTGTTTGACTGTTTGGGTAGTTGAGGGACGTCCAGAAGGAGATTTGTCATCAGTCAACATTTCACCTTTTTTTGAAACGAGAAAACCACTCGTACACTTGAGTTTTCCCCACAGCACTGTCCTTGTAAGCTGTGCTTGACATTACAACAGTTTCTGTGGCATTTTTTCCCAAGTAGGGTACAAAGTTTCCCAGCTGCACACTGTTCTTTTAAATTGACCATCTGAAAAACACGAGGTTCGAATGAAACTGTTTTCATGATAAAATTCACTCTGACCTGAGAGATCCTTCCCAGGCGATGCCACTGGTGGCAATAGCTCAGATGGAGTTGCTTGATGCTCACCTAGCGGGAAAGTACTATGAAAGCTCCGCCTAGTGAAGCTTTTTATGTTTTGGGGGGTACTTCCTCTGTGTTAGTCTGGGTAGACTAGGGAAACAAATCTAGGGAGACGCATGTGTATAAGAAAGAGTTTTATATAAAGGGTAATTGTACATTCAAAAAGCATCCCAACTCAGTCCAGTCCAAGACCATAAGTCTAATATTAGCCCATATGTCCGATACCAATCTATAAAGTCCTCTTCAGACTCACGAAACACATGCAATGATGCCAAATGCAGGGGGATCGCAGGTCAGTGGGTAGAAAATCCTTGGGTCCAGTGGTGTTGTAAGCATCTCAGCGCTGGCAGGGGTCTCCACATGGCTTCTCCAACACTCAGGACTGCACCAGGGTAGGTCCCTGTGGCTTCTCCTCAGGGATGTTTCGCAGGGAGTCAGCCTTGTCAGTAGAGTCTCCAAGAGTCAAGAGAGAGAGTGTGTCTTCTGCTTCCAAGGAGAAAATCCCAGAGTTTTCCCAGAACCCTTAGGAAAAGGCCATGCCCACACAGAGGCCTCATCCGTTATATCCTGATCGACAGCCTCGACTCCAGTCCGACACTCTTAATCCTCAACTTGACACCAGGTTATGTAACTACCACATCCTCTTGTACTGAAGTGGACATGGGAAGGGAGTTGCTTTTCAAAGAGTTCTGTAATAACCTGAAGGTGTGCTGGTGGTCTGGTGTTGTGTATTGGACTGCTAACTGCAAAGTCAGCAGTTTCAAACCACCGGCTTCCCCGGAGAAAGAAGGGGATTCTTTCGGCTTTCAGAAAGCGTTATAGCCTTGTTAACGGACAGGGGCAGTTCTGTGCTTGCCTGTCGGGTCGCTGTGAGACGGCATTGACTCCATGGCTGTGACTTTGGTTTGATGATACCTGACTACAAGTTAGGAACTAGTCGTTTGCTTACCGAGAGTTTTGGGGGATGTGAAGGAGTTTTTTACACAACTCATGAGGCTCCTTGTGCTTCAAACCAAAAACCAATCTTTTTTTTTTTTAATCTTTTTATTGGGGGCTCGTACAACTCTCATCACAATCCATACATCCATCCATTGTGTCAAGCACATTTGTACACATGTTGCCATCATCATTCTTAAAACATTTGCTTTCTATTTGAGCCCTTGGTATCAGCTCCTCATTTTTCCCCTCCCTCCCTGCTCCCCCTTCCCCCATGAACCCTTGATAATTTATAAATTATTATTGTTTTGTCATATCTTACACCATCCGACGTCTCACTTCAACCACTTCTCCGCTGTCTGTCCCCCAGGGAGGAGGTTATATGTAGATCCTTGTAATCTGTTTCCCCTTTCTCCCTCACCTTTCCTCCACCCTCCCGGTATCGCCACTCTCACCACTGGTCCTGAGGGGTTCATCTGTCCTGGATTCCCTGTGTTTCCTGTTCCTATCTGTGCCAGTGTACATCCTCCGGTCCAGCTGGATTTGTAAGGTAGAATTGGGATCATGGTAGTGGTGGGGGGAGAAGCATTCAAGAACTAGAGGACAGTTGTATGTTTCATCATTGCTTTACTGCACCCTGACTAGCTCGTCTCCTCCCCACAGCCCTTCTGCAAGGGGATGTCGAATTTTCCACAGATGGGCCTTGGGTCCACACTCCGCACTCCCTCTCATTTACAATGCTATGATTTTTTTTTGTCTTCGATGCCTGATAACCTGATCCCTTCAACGCCTTCTGATCTCACAGACTAGTGTGCTTCTTCCATGTGGGCTTTCTAGTTTTTCAGTGAGATGGCCCCTTGTTTATCTTTCAGCCTATGAGACTCCAGATTCTATATCTTTTGACAGCCGGCACCATCAGCTTTCTTCACCACATTTGCTTATGCACCCGCTTGTCTTCAGCGATCATGTCGAGGTAGGCTGGTGTGCTTCTTCCATGTAGGCTTTGTTGTTTCTTAGCTAGATGGCTGCCTGTTTATCTTCAAGCCTTTAAGACCCTGGATGCTATATCTTTTGATAGCCGGACACCATCAGCTTTCTTCACCACATTTTCTTATGCACCCGCTTGTCTTCAGCGATTGTGTCGAGGCAGGCTGGTGTGCTTCTTCCATGTGGGCTTTGTTGTTTCTTAGCTAGATGGCTGCCTGTTTATTATCAAGCCTTTAAGACCCTAGATGCTATATCTTTTGATAGCCAGGAACCATCAGTTGTCTTCACCACTTTTGCTTATGTACCTGGTTTGTCCTCAGCGATCAAGTTGGGACAGGCTGGTGTGTTTCCTCCATGTGTGTTTTGTTGTTTCTCAGCTAGATGGCCACTTGTTTATCTTCAGGCCTTTAAGACTTCAGATGCTATATCTTTTGGTATTGGGCACCATCAGCTTTTTCACCACATTTGCTTGTGCACCCATTGGCTTCAGCAATCATGCCAGGAAGGTGAGCATCTCAGACTGCCGAATTGTTAAAACAAAGTATTCTTGTGTTCAGGGAGTACTTGAGCATGGGCCCACTGTCGATCTGTTTCTTTAATACTAAACCTATAAATATATGTACATAGATCTATTTCCCCCTCATCTTATATAAATATATTTACATCTGTATATGCCTGTGTTTAGATCTCTGTAACTACCCTTTGCCTCCTAGTTCTTTCCCCCATTTTTTTGGACTTTCCTCTTGTCCCACTATCATGTCCAGCCTTCACCAAAAACCAATCTTTTTGCCATCAAATCTATGCCAACTCATAATGACTCTACAGGGCAGGATAGGACTGCCCCGTGACTTTCTGAGACTGTAACCCTTTATGGAAGTAGAAAGCTTCATCTTTTCTGTTATTCTTTAAAATGTATATTTAATTTTATCCTCAAAATTACATGTTACAACCAAAAGTTATCTGTGGCTTGGCTTGTTTAAGCATCAAAAACAACTGTGTCCTGTCTAAGGAAGTATAGTTTAGTTTGAAAGGAATCAAACTTTATTGTCATTAAGTCAATTTCCACATACAGTGCTCCTTCAGGGCAGAGTAGAACTTCCACTTGGAAGCCACTTCCACGTCTTTTTCCATCCAGGTGGCTGGGGTGTTGATCCACCAACCTTTCTGTTAGCGGCTGATGCTTAGCTGCCACCGGCGCTTCTTGTTTGAAGGACAATGTTACAGGATGGAAGCCTTAAACTTGTTAGTCTTATTTAGAAAATGAGTTCTTAAGCAGTCATGTGGCTCTGTTGAAATAAATGCAGCATACCTCTCGCATGCCTTTACCAGTAACAGTCGTCTGTGCATTTGCTATAGGTGAAGACATTAACTGAAGAGTGTTCCAACAAGAAGGTATCAATTGATTCCCTGAAGCAAAGGCTCAGTGTTGCAGTAAAGGAGAAGTCACAATATGAACAGATGTATCAGAAAACTAAAGATGAGTTAGAGAAAAAGGTACGTTTGTAGAACATGTCAACCTAGAAATGAAATACAATAATGTCTTCTCCGTTTTTATGCTGTCACTTTTTTTCTACATGAAATACGAAATTTTGTTTAACTTTAAGAAAGACAGTGGGTATGATATGACTGTTGTTGGAAACTAGCATTTAGACCAGTAGGTGCACAAACGCTTAGCCTAATTAAATGTTTTTATTTGCTGCATGGGATCATTTGGGCTGAAATAGTTTCAATGTCTCCATTTACTCAAAAAGAGGTACATATACAAATAGGAGAATTGCAACCCTCTACTATTCTGACATGTATAATGCTTTACGAAATATTTTTGATTCGATGACAACTGACCTTTTGCAGGATCTCAAGCTTACACACCTAGCATCAAAAGTCAATGAGACTGAATCGGCAATGGCAAAAATAGAATCGGTAGCATCTAAGCAGCTTGAAGGATTAGCACTGCAAAGCGAGCATGTCCTGGAAGGGGCGCAGAAGAAGCTGCTGTTGGCCAATGAGAAAGTGGAAGAATTCACCATCTTTGTGAAGGTTCGTATTGTTCACTTTTGATTACTGACCAGCAGTTCTCTTCAGGAGAGGCAGGCAGTGCCTACCTCTGATGATTTGGGAAATACTCTGAGGGTTCTCTCTTCTTTCTCAACCCACAAGCGTCTCTTCCTTCCTTCCTTGCCCCATGACTCAACCTCTATAAAATAACTACTCCTGGAACTTCTCCAGGACTCTAAAATCTGCCACTCTATTGTGACCATTCCTTTCTTAATGCCAATGGCAAGTGCTGTGGTGGCACACTGGGATACACATTGGGCTGCTGACCACAAGCTTGGTGGTTCAAACCCTGCAGCTGTTCCCAAAAAGATTTGCAGCCTTTGCAACCCCCATGGGCAATTCTACTCCGTCCTTAACATCAATCTAGGTTGGAATCAGTTTCATGGAAGTGGGTTTGGCATCGCCGAACATAGAAAAACTAACGTAAGTAGCCCAGCTGGCATAGTGGGTTACACCTGGGGCTGCTGACCTCGAGGTCCACAGTTCAAACCCACCAGGCAATCTGTTCTAAGATGGCCAGGCTCAGAATCCTGGGGATCATGTCTGTTGTATCCTTTCTGGTCGCTATGATCAGAAAGGACTTAAGACATTCCCACTAGACTTTTCTTTTCAAAATCATTCAAGCAAGATCTGGAAACTTAACTCCATGTTGAATGAAGTTAGCTGGCATTAGAATCACCATCCACAAATTAGCAACACAAAAAGGCTAGAAGAGGAAAAAGTGACTTCACAGAAGCAAGGGAAGAAAACCAAACCGAGGTGTCTACAGCAGGACCCTAACCCCCCACCCCCACCCCCGCGAAAAGTTCAGGAATTGACTCTACACTGAACCATCCAAACAGAATGATGGCTAGACGTGGGTTCAAACAGATAGCGCGCTAGGTTCCTATTTCTCCCTTCTCTGCTCTGGGCTAATGGCAGGGCAAAGAAGCACTGGGTTGAGAGATGCTGTCCATGAGCGCGGGAGACTTGGTGACTTTCTCCACCCCATTAATCTAACTGGGAGCTGACCCCATTTTCATGGCTTATGCCAAATTTTTTTCCAAAGAAAAAGTCATCAGTGAATTAATACCAAAAGCAGAAACACTGTTAGAGCTCAGTGTTTACATCATAGCAAGATTTTCATCTCCCCCTTCCTTGCATATAGGAATACCATCAGTGACTTCTTCAGCTCCCTGCAAGTCAGCTCACCTGCCACCTGGTCTGTAAGACCTTCCTTAATGGATCTGTTTTCCACCTTTCACCCCCACTGTGCTCATTCCCACCTCCGCTCCAGTTGCTTTTTGCTGGAAGTGGCGGCCCTGGTGCTTTCATGGTTAGCTCTGTGCTTCTTCCAGCTCCTGCTTTTAACTGGGAGGTGGGGAAGCTTAGCGCCCAGTCCTGGCAGTTACTACCCTGTTTCCCGAAAGTAAGGCATCCCCCCCAAATAAGACCTACTTACAGTTTTGACTCTCGCTGAAATATAAGGCATCCCCCCCCGAAAATAAGGTACCCCGAAGCTATCGTAATTGACTCTGGACCATAGCGGCTTGGGCGCTGCCGCCGCGCAGCTCACTGTTGGTTGCAGCGCAGCCCGAGCAGACAGGAAGTGCGAGGTCTCTTTTACTAAAACAATAAACAATAAATGTGTACCGTATTCTTCTTCACGGAAACCTAAGACATCCCCTGAAAATAAGACCTAGTGTGTCTTTGGGAGCAAAAATTAATATAAGACATTATTGTATTTTCGGGGAAACAGTTGCTGTGGGATCGCAGTCAAGTATCTTCATTGTGCTGTGCCTCGGTTTCCCCATGTAGAGAATAAGGTTGGAACCTACCTGAGGTGGGGGCTTTAAAAAGTTCCCCTAGATCAACCTCCGAGCAGTGCATCTAGATGTCTGTTAGCCTGTGTGCCACAGGAATTACTACCTATCTGTAAATGTGCATGTTTATTTCTACTAGATGATAGCAGTCTTAATGACAGAGATCTTGTCAAGCATTGTCTCCAGAGTCAAGGTACACAACATTGGGCTCATTCAATTCCCGAGCAGTTGGTTTCCCCTCTGCTTCAAGGAGGGTCTGGAAGACACATCACTGTTTAGACTGCAAACTCGGTGAAGGCAGGAGCTAAGGCACAGCCGAGGGCCCCTGCCTAATTTCCACAGCAGGACCACCCATGCTCATTACTAGAGGATCATGCACACAAGAGTACTTAATGAGTATTAACGGCAGTATTAATAGTAATAATGCTGTTCTGGCCCAGTTGTGGAATCTGTGCTCCCTTCAGTCTTTTCATTTATTCATGGGGTAGAATCCGATTATAGAAGAGGTGGAGTGGCCATCTGTTCTAGATCTAGGTTTGAATATGGAATTTTGCCCTGGGGTAAAATCAAGTGCTCTGAGCATCTGGGCTGGATGTATGTGGCAGAGCTGAGGCTTTGAATTCTCCTAATAACTCAATAAATCACACAAGGGAAATTTCCAGAAGTATTTGCTCAGTTTGACTCAGCTCTGATGTAGCCTTGTTAATGTGCTTGTACAGGAAAGTCATATGCCAAGCTCCATCTTCTCGAAGGTTTTTTTTAGTACTGAAATAAGTACCGGCTAAAGAACACCATTTAGCCGGAAGTTGGCATGGCTTCATTACCAGTATGTATTACATACAGAGCATTTCCATTTATTTCCCACCAAATAGAGAGCGAGAGCAGAAGGGATGGGCACAGCCTACTGAGGGCAGAAACCTTGGAAGACCCAGAGACAAGGCAGCCCAGCTCTGGCTCTCACAGTTCAATGACTAATAATTGTGCACGGAGCTTATAAAGAGTTCCATGATACAGTGCAATTAACTGAATTAACTCTTTTTTTAAATTTATTTTTATTTTTTTGAATTAACTCTTTTTATCTGACTGTTATACTGAAAAAGATAAATGGCAGCTGCTGTTTTCAGCCCACAGTTCTAAGTACAAATAACTTTAACTGGATGAACTTTATCTCAAGAAAGCTTTAAAAAAAATTACTTCCCAAGAAGCCTGTGAAGTGTAATGCCTCTCAAGTATTTGCACAGTCACTTTTACCTGTGTTCAACGATCGGATCATACTGATAAAAGCCTCCTCCATCTGTAATGAAACCGAACACGACTTATGCTGGCGTTAGCAGACTGGACATGTTGCTGTCGTAGGAGCGGCCTAACACGGCTTCCTATCTTTCTCCATAACTAATGCTAGGAATACTTGAGGAAGAGCATGTCCAGGTTGAGACATACATTGAAGTATTCTTATTTTGAGAGGGCCTTCAACATTCGGACAATTCCTAGCCCACTGTGTGTCAAGAATTGCTGGACAGCCGTCAGGGATTTTTCAGAAAGTCAGTGAACATTTGTAGACTGTTCTTTTGCTCCATTCGGTGTTTCTGCTTACTGTGGAACTAGGGGCTGGCCAGGGACCACGAATCAGCTGACGCAAACACTTCTTGAAGCTTCTAGTATGTTTTGTATTAACGATTTGGTTTCACGAAGTTTTTGTCCACTTTGAGGGCTTTCGGGGTTGGCCAGAAAGGACTTGAACCAGTTTGAACTGTAGAAAGAAGGTAGTTTATTCTAGATAGAGAAAAGCTTTCTTCTTCCATGTATTTAAAAGATTTGGTTATTTTCACTTCTTCAGTTATCTCTGCCCCCAAAGAGCAGCCATTGTCTTTCATGCCACAGCATGAGACGTGGAGGGAGCGGGTTGGCAAGAAAGAGTTCAGCTTCTCCTTTGGTTTGGTGGAATAGTATAGGGCCAGGGTCCTCAAACTTTTTAAACAGGAGGCCAGTTCACTGTCCCTCAGACCGTTGGAGGGCCAGACTATAGTTAAAAAAAAACCCAACACTATGAACAAATTCCTATGCACACTGCACATATCTTATTTTGAAGTAAAAAAACAAAATGGGCAAAAACACCCGGCGGGCCAGATAAATGTCCTCGGCAGGCCGCATGTGGCCCACGGGCCATAGTCTGAGGACCCCTGGAGGGTGAGAATGCTAGATACCAATTGAAATTGTATGCTTTAAAACTCATAAAGATTGCATCACTTGGGGATTTTATAGGTGAGCCCAAGAAGACTGGAAATACTTAGGCCTCAAAATAGTGAATAAAAAGAGAAAGGATACAGAACGTTCCATTAATCCAACACATGCCATGAAGGCAGGGCTGGGGAAAGAGGAAGAAAGCAGCAAATCAGCCTGGTGAACGAAACAGGACGATATCCTAGAATGAGTGCAAACATGCCAGTAGCGCAGCATATGGGATAGTGTTGAAATGTGTTTTTAAAAATACATATCAACCTGGGGGGAAACACCCCCCCCTCAGACATAGGGCAAGGCTGTAAAACCACTCGACCGAGGAATCGGGGGTCCCAGGACCAGCCCTCGAGCACTGAGCTTGTGCGTGTCTCCCCAGCTCTGTGCACCTTGCTTGCTCGGAACAGAGTCCAGTGGTTCTCAACCTTCCTGATGCTACCACCCTTTCATACAGTGCCTCATGTTGTGGTGACCCCCTACCATAAAATTATTTTCATTGCTACTTCATCACTGTCATTTTGCTACTGTTATGAATCGGGCAACTCCTGTGAAAGGGTCGTTCAACCCACAGGTTGAGACCGCTGGAATAGACCAGAGTGGGAGTCTTGACACCACCCAATCTGGCAATTTAGAAATACTTGCTTAGGATCTTTAAGGTCTCTGTATTCTCTTTTAAAATGAGAAGCAAATAGTGTGTATAACTGCCAGTATGTTGAAAACCCTCAACAGAGTGGTTGATAATGCTCACAAAATAACTACCCAAACTGACTCAAAGATGATGTAAGTAACATAAATGATCAGATTTCAAATGAAACTACCTAAACACCCCAATGGGAGTATGTTTTACGTGAGATTCTGTAACGGGATTGTTTAATAAAATACATGCAATGAACATATTTCTAATGGACTGCATGGCGAATGGACCAGAGTTACATAGATATCCAG